TTTTAAGAAAAACACTAGTCGCGCCTGCTCCCGTGACAATGGTAGAACTCTCTCCTAAGTGACCATATATTCATTAGAGTCATTTTGCTCATGAGCGTTCCTCAGCATCTTTTGACGTCTACTCCGTAGCCTTCGCCTTTCGTTCCACGATCCACAAGAAACACGTCGTGCTCAAGAAGATCAGCCTGTTGGTCAGCAGCAGTCGAAACTGTGTCGCTGCAAGTAAGAAGAGTGGACAGAGTGACCATTATGATGAAAAAAGACGATGCTTTTTTGCTGCAGGTGAAGGTGTCGAGTGTAGAAGTTGTTGGTCTTGGGCTGATGTTCGTCGCTTAGGGAAGACTATGGATATGAAATGTCAGGAGTGCTATTTAAAACACTTGATCTGTGCTGGCTAAGGGACAGCTCCGAGATGCGGAATCGTGGTAGAACTGGCGGTACATTACCAAAATTTGATATGTGTCGGTTTTGCGCAAAAGCAAACAGCTGAAGAGCCGTAACACGAAGTGACCATCCCGTAAAGTGACACGAATAGCAGAGTAACAGCTTGCTGACAGAAATTAGGAGGTGTGAGCCGTCGTAGACCTCTTACCGATTCAATCGACACGTCTGCCTATCTCCTTCGCCTGAAGTTGAGCTATCATGAGTAGCAAATCTGATCCGAATCAGGTCACAAACATGGGTTGCGGCGACTCAACTGGCAATTTATTTAGCTGAGGTATTGAATTTGCTGTGTGTGACACGACAAGCTTGTGGATATCATGATTATGTGTAGCAGAGCTACAAAGCTCCTTACGTCAGGGGAAGACTAAGTGCTCGAAGTGCGATGTTATACTATACAACTAGGTTCTATGAGTCAACAAGCGTGAAGCTTAAGGTCCCTGTTCCGAAGTACTGAACGATTTATTGAATCTACAGCACTTGGTGCTCAAGCGTAGATACCTCAGGAAGGTGCTGCTAATACTAAATGATCTACAATTCAAGACGCCTCGCAAAGCACGTGTCTTGTACAAGATCAAAAGGAGAGCTCAACTTCATTTACGATTAACCCTTTATCTTGATCCTGATATCATCTAATTTAGGCACCTAATCCCTAAATTGATATCTTCAACATCTTTGCTATCTTGTGGCGAACACCCGTCATCCCCTGTAAACCAATTACATATTCTCTATCTCTTCCAGTTAGATACCACTCCATGTGTCTAGGTTGAATTCGTCACATTATACTTTTTACCGCATCTCCCAGATGGTTTGTTGGTGGAAGGCATGGTTATTCAGCTGTTCACCCGTTACCAATTCCGGTTTCGGTCCCCGGGGGGGTTCGAACCCGCAATCAGCGACTTGGAAGTCAGCTTACTGCGCCACTACACCAGGGGTCCACCCCTACTCCATGTGTCTAGGACACAGGGTATCAATAGCCCCAAGTTGTGTAATTCCTTTACCATCTTACTATTCTTTATATTTAAGAAGACAGAATAAGGTCTAGTGCACATGATCACAAATTCACGAAGGCGCCACGCCTGGCGCTCATACTATACACCCCTATAATTGCTGTCGCATGTAGTACTAAACTCCGGAACATAGATCCGATCAACATGCTATGCAGCGACGGATTTATCTCGTCTTGTGCTGACGTATTTACCGGCACGCTGGCGACGTAGATGAGCCTCGAATATCATTAAGAGTGCGTAATTGGTACTGGGCTACACAACACGGCTGCAGTTAAGTGGGCTTCAATCGTCCCACACAGTGCTCTCCTCCGGACGAGGATTTAAAAAGCCTGGCGTTCGACTAAAATCTACCGGCGATTGCCGTACGAGATGACAACTGCTTATAAGGAGCGCTATCGAGCAACTTTAACCGTTGAAGTTAAATAAAATGTAAATGCGTTTAAATTGAAAAACGGAAGCCGAGACTCAATAATTGCGATTCCAATTGAATGATATAAGATAGGGGAGCAAGCTCTGGAGTTGGCGCTTTGATATAGCCGAGGATGCATCCTCTGTGCTTTTCGGGATTATTGGTCTAGAGGTCGCGACAAAAGCTGCCTTGTTCTGCAGTTGGAAAAACGCCCTGGTCACTCGCATAGCATGGTGTAGCATGTCGTCGCCATCGTCCAGAAGTTTACGAAAGCATCTCTTGTTGTGGGACATTCTTGAGATCACTGAAAAGTGGGAAAGTAGATATACTAAAAAAAGGTAAATGGAGAACTGGGAAGTCTAATGGGTCCGGGCTCATAAAAGTTGAAGGCTTGGACTGGTAAAGAGGAGGAAAGCAGACACAATAGCTCCCAAATGCTAGAGTGCCACCCCTCGCGACACCTATTCTACTTTGGAAACGCTAATTTTTGACCTGAAATATAGGATTGGTTATCACGACTGCCAAAGATGCTTTCAGCTAGATGCTTGTATCGTCTACAATAAAAAAGTGCACGTACACATTCTCGTATCCTGACATAATGATTGCGAGCCCGTAAGGTGAAGCTATTAGACTGTGCGCAAGGAAGAATGCCAAACTTTATATCGCACTTATCTGTGTGTGTCTGTGTGTCCGTAAATAACGCAGTAAGGTGTGCCCAACTCGTATCAAGTGCGATCTAGCGTGCTATCCCTCATAAGTCGATTTGCATGATAGGTTTATGCCACTCTATGGCTAGGTCTCACTGTGATGCACGCACCTGATTGGCATAAAATCGATCAAAGGTGAACATGATCACAAAAGCATATGCTAGACGATCGTAAGCAAAGGCCGATCGCGTTGCCCAAGTATACTGAACTGAGCTAATACATACATTGACATCATCATACTCATTCTTCAGTGAATGCTGTTGTAAAGCGTTTTGCAACTTGATTCAGTTTTCCGAACTGGATTGCTCATATCAAGGGCGAGCTCCAGGTCTTGCTCCTTTTTCTTACGACGATAGAGCAAGGGGTTTGGAGTGCATGTTCAAAATTAACCAGTAAAGGTTTCCTTAAATGCGCGCGCCGCTGGCGGTGAGTCTTCACGATCGCTATGTTTTACATTCCTGACTTTGGTGTAGAAATATCTGTACAGTAGAGTATCCCTTATTTATTATGGCAGGGACATCCAAATTTGGTTTGAACTAGGGATTATTAAAATAGCAGAGTTATGGGGGAAAGGGTTGAAGCAAAGGGTGATGCACGTGCTAGAAGGAGAACGATACCGTGGTCGCACCGTCCGTTCTTCCTCGGAAAGCTGCATCGATGCTTGCAGAGCTCAAGAATTTCTGGTTACAGCAGAAGAATGAAGAGGAATTTTAGGGATAATTTAGAAGACATAGGATCAGATGGGAAATCTTCACCAAAAAACCTCACGCAACAAACTCAGATTTACTGCTTTGTAGTGGTCCCCCGGCGGTAGTTCAATTTTTGTACGGCGGAAACTTTCTCTGGATGTAAAAATAAAAATGAAAGGAATTTTCGATGTTTGGCCTGGACCCCAATATGGGACTTGACATGTTTTTTTAGTAAGGTAGACTATTAACTTGGGGACTAATAAGTACGTAAACTCTACTATTTTAAGATGATTATTAGGCTTTATTCCCACTGTCTTTTGTTCTATCGAAGTAAATACGGTAGGAGCTGTATACCTTGGTAAGTTGGACTTCCTAGTAGCTTTTAAGGCGAGCTACTTGTTTATTTTCATCCCCGTTTACCAGTCAGAAGACGTGTGTGGTGTAACTCCCCGAACAACTGTCACCGCATTCTAACGACTGAATCGCATGTAATAATACGTTCATGTCCACCCAGACTTATGGCCGTCTGGATAGGCCGGAGTGCACAGGCCGGGCATGTAGAAGCGCTGCTCGCCTATTTGACTTGTAACCCCTAACGCAACGGCTGTACTACGTATTCAGTAGAAGCATTTCACGGTAGTAGAGAGAAAGAAAGCTGAGCTGAGCTCCATGAAAGGTTTGTATGCTAACAGAAGCCGTTTTTCGCATGCTGAGGTGGTGATGTAGAGTAGAATGCCCCGTGCAATCAAAAGCGATAGCAGAGACTTCAATAGCTCGTCTGTGAACGCATTTACACAATAATAGTTATAACAGGTATGTCACTTTTTGCTAGTCTCTTCGATGCATTGTCCTGTAAAACATGAACTGCCGATATATTTTAAAAAGGGGCGGCCTAGTGATACCCCGGAAAGAGGAGAAGGGGGGTTATTGGTCGCCTGAAGCCTCAACAATGTCGGCTGCAAGCTGGCGACAACGGTTTAGCATAAAATCAGGATCAATCGGCTTCTGATGCAAGCGAGCGACGCGACGACTGCTTGTCATTGCGTCAGCTTGTTGATGATCTATTCTCCCGCCTTCAGCATCCCATTTGTACAAACAGTCAATGAGAGTGTACATATCGTAGGTGCTCTCTGAGTGTCGCACTCGTGGTCTTCTTGGCCTTGTGATCATATGCACTCGACTTTTTTGCCTGCTTGCCTATAGTGCTGACAGCAACAACGAATCGGGCTTTCGTTGATGTCAAGGCGTCTGTCGTCTTTTACGCACCGCCCACCACTTCCTTAACTCAGTAAGCGCATGTCGTGTTATCGTCGTAGCGCATCGTGACCTAACTCAGACCAAATTGGTCCAACAGATCGCTTAACATCAGGCGAGGGAGAGAGATAGACGTGTCGATTCAAATTGTAGGAGGTCGAGCACAGCTGACATCTCCGAACCGCCTCAAGCAACGCTGTTCCGATTTCAACTCAGGTTGTTGAACAGGGCTCGTCACCTCGTGTAACGGCTGTTTGGCCATTTGCTTGGTGAAAAGCAGACGCCCCTCAAATTTTGGCGTCGCATCGTCAGGTCCACCGCAGCTCTACACAGTCAACCACAGGTCGAGGAGCTTCGGGTGTGCTCCTGGCACCTCATTTCCCGATTCAACGTCATACGACCAACTGCACACAGCCAGAACTACAGCTCACGACCATCTAAACACGATCAAGTACTGCCGTCGACCCCTTCACCAGCAACAACAAGAAGCATGCGTCTGGCATACACCGCAGTGACCACTCTGGCTGCTCTGCTGTATTGCAGCGACTCAGTCCCGGCTGCTGGTGACCCGAAAGCTGTTCTCAAGCACGACGTCTCTCAGTTTGTGGCTCGCAGGACGTATGGTGACGACTACAGAGTGAACACCAAGAGGCTGCTGAGGAACGCTCATGCGCAAGGTGACTCTGATGATTTACTGGTCACTGAGGAGAGAGGTCTACCATCTTCAATTTTCGGCGTCACTAGTGGAATCCCTCAAAAATTTGCTTCGACTAAAAACGTCGTGGCGGATGGGGTGAAAACTGCGGCCAAGAAGATGGAGGACAAGATGACCGAATTGATCATGAAGCTTGATCCGTACGGGAAGAAGCTGATGAAGAACTCTAAGTTCAAGGCATTTATGAAACATTACAACACGCTTTTCCGCCGCAAGTCGACGGTTAAGGACGCTAAGAAGCCGACGACCACGACTGGGAATACCAACACCGTGAAAGACAAGGGCGAGGCAACAGAGAATGGTGGGGCCCACATTACGCATGATACCAAGCCAGAGACGAATGTCGGACACACTACGCGTGATGACATGCCACCGGTGACCACAATATCTCACTCCGAGACTGTCGGCCAGCCAAAGGTGAACCATAACGATCTAGTTCCCCCGAAAAAGGAAAACAAACCAAAAGAATCTCCGAAGGATACGAAGAAGGACGATGAGGATGAATTTTTCGATGCAGTATCCCATTTGTAGAGAACTACCTTCTGGACTGACAAGTGTGCAGCAACGCCCGATACTGACTGCTGTTGGCTTTGAGCCTGTTTTAAAGAGCGACGACGCTTTCGTGGATAGCGGGACGGATGGCCGCGTTGACGACCAGTAATCAGCTTCGAAGGAGTCTCAGGCGGACGAAGGTATGGAACAGGCACAAACTGATGAGGGAGAGGGAGCGGGTTTATCCCCTTCTACTGTCGAGGAAGGGGCTGTACCGTGGGAAGCCAGAGTACGGGTGACGTTCGGGCAAAGCGATGGATGTCAAGGTCTTCTGAGTTTAAGTTGGAAGAGGGGCATCTTAATTCTAAGCACATGCGCTAGAATCGTTCAAGATTTTGGAGCTGCTACGGAAAAGCTGGAGAACAGCCCACCTATTCAGATGTCCTGAAAAAGGGTCACGAGCCTTATGCGAGGGCGACGCCACCGAACTTTGTGGCGTTGTGATTGAGGAGCGCTACCATAGTGCTGAGGAGAACTGAGAAAACGGAATGCAGGCGGATGCGAAGCCAGTTACAGCAGTGAATGCAAGTCTTAATGTAATTCAATCGAAAAGGTTCGACAAGGGCAATATCAAGAAAGACGGTCGTGATTTGACTAATGGTCGTGCTGCTTTTACCGGTGCACCGAACAAACAATAAGTAAAGAAGAGCAGCAAAGGAGGATACAACCTTCTCACGTCTCAACAAAAATTATGCCTCGCTTCTTCTTTTCCTTTCGACAAGGACACTTATAGTAGGTACACACGAGGGTCTTGCATGGACCCTCATACCCACTACCAAAGTCCTGTATCGCGTTCTTTAAACATCCACTAAGCTATGCACGCTTCACATGGGCGGCTTCGCCTACCCACTTGCCCACCCACTCGGCATCGGTATGCTATACGCACGCCACACCCATCATGTTTGCCACCGGTCACTATAGTAGGTACAAGAGCAAATCTCATTTTTAATACCACATTTGTGCAAAAGTTCCAAAGCCAGGACAATACTCAATGCAAGTATAAATTAGATGAATAAATAGTGCGACCCACATTACACCTAATCGCATCATGGGCAAGAAACTGCCCGATTGCCAACAAGTCTTTTTCCATAGAGTAGATGATTGCCACCTAAATTCACGTCGGCGTCGGATGGTACGCGTTTAAGCTGGGCTACGCACCTCAGGCAGCGCCAAGTGGTCTTCCACGCACATCCTCGTCGTCATCGGTACGCGTGGACGGTGCTCCAAAAATGGTCCATGATGCTTTTTTACGTCAGGCATTTGATCGACAGGCGTTCTAGCTCCAAAATCACCTACTTACTCTCCCGTTATAACCATTAATGAAGCGATTGGATTTGATTATTAGCACAGATGCGTGGATATGGGTGGCGGCCCATCAGCTTTCTTCTTAGGTCTGGGATCATAACCACGAAATCTCGGACTAACGAAATGATCGCATTCTTTTAGTTCTTATCATCGCGAGTAAAGCTGAAAAAGGACTAAAGAGACGGCCTCGAGCCTCGTGCAGCCGTCAGATTTTATACATTCGTTCTACCGATACGCCTGTAATGCTTATGTAACGGGGCACCCTGAAGCTTGTACTGTCATCAGTACAAGCTTCAGGGTGCCCCGTTACACCTGGTAGCACTTCGTAGTCCGTCCAAGGACCACGTTCACACCCAACATGAATATGCTGGATGATGAAGATGACCAAAGCTTTCACGCTACGCGTGACGGCTACTCCCATTTGAGCAATGTCGAATGGGATGCGGTTGAACGGATGGGTTCAACCATGGGCATCCTCCATGCTGTTAGCGTCATGCTAGAGGCTCTCAATAGAGATGCCCAACATGCTACTATCGCCAAGTTCATTCAAAATGAACTTGACGCTGAAACGCGAGAAAGTAGCCTTGCTTCACCAACAAGGTTCTCAACAAGCAGAGTTGTTGAGAGAACAGGGTGCTCAACAGTTTGAACTGTTGAGACAGCAGCAGGCTGCTGCTGGTGGGTCGATGCATTCGCGTCGACCCGAGACCTTGAAGATTGACATCTCCAAGTATAGGGGAGTCGAAGAGGACTCCCTCTTGAGATGGTTCGTCGAATTGGATGACGCCATAAGGGCGCGCCGCATCGACGACGGGGATATGCAAGTTGCATTTGCCCAGTCAAATCTGGCAGGACGTGCCAAGACTTGGGCACTGGGGCTCAAGTTGCACGACCCATATGCGTTTGGGTCGTTGGAAGTCTTCAAGTCGCGGCTCAGACAAACGTTTGAAACGCCTAGAGCTGAGTTCAGAGCTCGAACCGAACTCTTGAAGCTCAAGCAGGGTAAGCATGATGTGCACGCTTACGCGCAACATATACGACATCTCACGAGTTGTATAAGTTCCAATCCGGTGGATGAACACACGTTGGTTTCGGTGTTCATGCAGGGTCTTGCGGATGGTCCCGTCAAGAATCACCTGTTCCGGCTTGAACTAGATTCACTAGAACAAGCCATTTCCATTGCGGAGCAGGAAGACTTCAGTCTGAGACAGGCTCGCGCCAGCTCGACATCATATCGTCAACCGAGACGATATGACAACGGAGGTCCAGAGCCGATGGAACTCTGCTATGTAGAGAGCGAGAAGGCTCGCTCTACAGGCTACAAGAAGTTGCAGAGATGCAACAGATGTCAAAAGACAGGACACTACGCTTATGAGTGTAGTGCCCCTCGTCCAGTGTCTCGCGACACTGGGCGTAGTGACCGTCCACCCATGAGAAAGGGGCAGGGACGAGGGTCCGCTGTTGGTGCAAAGACGCAACAACGGGATGGACCGTCAAAAAACGGACAGGATCAGTAGGTGCGGAGCACCCTACTGATCCAGCAACGTCAAGAGAATTTGTAGGCCTCTTGATGAACGTTGCTCCCAACGCAAAAGCGTTATGCGTTGCTGCTCTAGGTAATGAGGACTCACTCATTACCTTGAAACTCGAAGTGACGAATAAGTTGTCCCTTCGAGCTCTAGTCGATTGTGGGGCGTCCAACAATTTTGTGCAACGCCAATCGCTAGAAGATGGTCACTTTAAGTTCAGTGAATGTGACTCACCTCCTACGAGGATGACGGTACGTCTTGCGACAGGCGCATCCGTAACCGTCATGAAGCGTATAGTGAAGATCCACTATACGCTAGAAGATACCCAATATGATGATGACTTTATCGTATTGGATTTGGATGACAAATTTGATGTCATCCTTGGAATACCGTGGCTCAGGAGGTACGAGCCACGGGTAAACTGGCAACATCGAACAGTAACGATTCCTGACGCTTGTTCATCAGATGGCCATCTGATGAACGTTTTGGAGCGTTCACAAGCGTGTGGATGTACTAAGAGTGAGTGCGATGGCCTCACTTGTGGTACGGTCGTTAGTACGACTGCACAAAACCTTAGTGTACCAAACGGTTACACTTCGGAGCAAGATTCCGGCGGCTGTGAGGAAACACAGGCTGCGCCGAAGGTCCACCACTCGAATAAGTCGAGTGGACCGGGACAAAGATGTATCCCTAGCGGGGAACATCTAGAAGAGAAACAATCGATCGCTCAGGTTAAGCGAAACGATAATCCTAGATCGACTGGAGGGTCTTTCGTAGAGGATCTCGCTGTGGTTGCGCAACCACAGCAAGAGGAAGTAAAGGGAATAAGTCCCGATAATACAAATACGGCGGAAATAAGTTCCCCGAAACCCGAGGGAATAAGTCCCCGGGAAGCCGAAGGAATAAGTCCTTCGAAGCCTGAGGGAATAAGTCCCCAGGATATGACAGATACATTGAATGTCATAGTCAATAACGGATCAAGTGTAGGCGCTTATACACTTGATCTGATTGCGCCTCCGAAGTTGACTTCGGAGATCACTCAGTTGCCAACGCTCGAACATAAAAGGTTCTTGCGTGATCTGCGTAGTGGCAAAGTCAAGCAGATCTGCGTACTCGTCGCTGACGACGAGTGCGTAGCCGACATAAGGTCAGCAGCAGTGTTTACTGAGAACGAGAGACTTCTCAGTAGTTCATATATGGACGAGAGTGTCCTAGATGAAAAGACACGAATTGAGCGATATGACTCCCAATCGTGGGAATCGCTCAAGACAAATCCTCTCTATGAAGATTTGGTTGAATTCAAGGATGTATTCCCTGAAACTGTTCCGTGCGAATTATCGAAGGATAAAGGTATTCGACACGAGGTCGAGCTTAAACCAGGCTCGAAGTACTGTGTCATGAAGCAGTGGCCACTGCCCTCGTGAACAAGTACTTGCGATCGACAAGTTCTTTGCCGATCGTTTAGCTGCCGGCCATGTGACGGAATCAACTTCCCCACATATCTCTCCGACCTTCTGTGTGCGAAAAGCAACAGGAGGGTGGCGGATAGTGCATGCATTCAATAAGTTGAATGCTGCAACGGTACCGGCTCAGACGCCGATACCGAGGAAGGACGTAATCATTGATGGTATGTCAAAGAGTACCATCTTTTCGTCCATGGATTTGATAGATGGCTTCGATCAAATCCTTATGCGGGAACGGGATAAACCCTATACCGCAGTTAGCACGCCTAGCGGCATGCTCTGGGAATGGCTAGTAATGCCACAAGGGCTCAGTAATGCCCCTGCCACGTTCAACAGATGTGTATCACATCTGTTGAGACCAGTACGAGAATTCGCGCCGAGTTATTTCGATGACGTATTCATCCATAGTCGGGCTATGGATGGAAAGTCGGACGTTGAGGTTCACAGGTACCACGTCCGACAGGTTCTTACAATCATGCGAAAGCATCAATTGTATGCAAACCTCAAGAAGTGTATATTTGCAGCAAGCGAAATACCACTTCTTGGGTGCATCGTTGGTAAGAACGGTGTACGTCCTGATCCCGAAAGGATCAAGGCGATCACCGACTGGCCTGTGCCAGTCGACGTCAAAGGACTTCGACAATTCCTTGGGCTAGCGGCGTATTTGCATAAGTATTCACGCAATTACGCCGAGATGACTGTGCACCTCTCTCGTTTGTTGAAAAAGAACGAGAGGTGGTTATGAAACGCTGAATGTCAGCGCTCCTTTGAGGGTATCAAGAAGAGCTTGATACAATCCCCAGTCCTAGCGATTGCCGATCAGGACAGGCCATTTCATGTGGTCTGTGATGCCAGCGATTTTGCAATCGGCTGTGCATTAATGCAGTAAGACCTAGAAGGCGTTGAACGCTTCGTCTGCTATCAGTCGCGTCAGCTGCAACCAGCTGAGCGGAACTATCCAGTGCATGACAAGGAACTCCTTGCCATGAAGTATGCACTCGCGAAGTTCAGAGTCTATCTATTAGGAGATAGACCCTTCATTGTTTACACTGACCATGCGTCATTACGCACGGCAGTGAACAGCCCGCACCTTTCGCAACGAATGGCGCGGTGGTTGTCATTCTTTGCGGAATACAACTTTACGGTTGAGTACATACCAGGACGACTTAATGTCGTCGCTGATGCACTCTCACGTCGCCCCGACTTTGAAACAGTCGCGAAACCCAACAGTGAGACAGTCACTGTTGCGGTTATGACGTCCTCAGTCCCATCTACAACGTTGTATGATGATGTGAGGCGGGCATACGCCCAAGATGGTGAGATAGTGAAGTTGTTGACACATCTCTCCCAACGATCTCGAGAATCGTTGAAACGAATATCGTCTGCGTATCGATCTGCATCAGATCGATACACTACTCGCAACGGTTTACTGTATTATACAGCCGTTTCTGGTGACACACCACGTGTTGTCATTCCAGATGATACTGATCTGCGTTTGCGGATCATGTTCGAGTATTACGATGCTCCTATAGGAGGACATCGTGGCCGTGAGAAAACATATCTCACGGTGAGTCGAGACTTTTACTGGCCCCGCCAGTATCAGTTTGTGCGAAAGTACATTCGCGCATGCGAAGTCTGTCAACGAGTGAAGTCAAGTCCTTCACTACGTGCACCTTTACAGCCTCTACCGGTTCCGGCTGAGTGCTGGGAATCCATCTCAATGGATTTCGTCTTCGGGTTACCCAAAGACGCACGCGGGAATACGGGTATTCTCGTATTTGTTGACAGATTCAGCAAAATGGTACACCTTGTGGCTGTACCAGAGTCAATCACAGCAAGTGGCTGTGCTTGTGTCTTCATTGACACCATCTTCCGACTTCATGGGTTGCCCCGTGAACTCGTATCAGACAGAGATCCACGCTTCACTGCTGATTTCTGGCGTTCCGTGTTCAAATCACTCGGAACGCGCTTGAAGATGTCGACATCTGATCATCCAGAGTCAGATGGTCCGACGGAACGTGCCAATCGTGTCCTCGAAGAGATACTTCGAGGATACGTACACTCCTTTAAGAGTTGGAGTGAGTTCTTGCCAATGGTAGAGTTTGCCATTAACAACTCGGTGCATGCGTCCACGACACATACACCGTTTTGCGTGAATGGCTTGCGCCATCCGCGTGTACCCACATTACTAGAGTGTGACTCTGGTTTAAGGGGGGGAGGGACTCGCGCGAGCAAAAACCGATTTGGTTCACGCTCATCACGCTCTGACGAAGAGGTCATTGCGTTTGATGCCGATATCGATAACATCGATATCGAAGAATATGATGCCAGTGAGAGTGCGGAAGCCCTCACTGAAGAAGATGATGCCAGTGAGAGTGCGGAAGCCCTCACTGAAGAAAAGATTGATGTTGCTGCAGTGCGCTCACAGCGCACTGAAGCTAACGAGCCAGCAGATGAGTTCATACTGGCTCGTGAAACGGTAGTCCGTTTTGTGCAAGATTCCATCGCCGAAGCGGTGGATAAGCAAAAGCAAAACGCTGACAAGAATGGAAGGGCAAACACTCTTTTATTCAATAAGGGTGACTTAGTCCTACTGTCTACGGTTAATCTACCAAAGCATGTAGTGACTAACTTGGGTAGCAGTAAACTACTACCCAAGTACATCGGCCCATTTTCGTGTATTGCACCGCCTAGGCAATGCATACACGATCGAGTTGCCACGTAAGATGCGAACGCATCCCACGTTTTACGTTGGTCGGCTTAAGCCGTACCATCAGTACGCTGCTTCTTCCGATGAAGAACGCCCTTGCGCTCAAGCATCTCGCAGAGAGCCTTGTGCTCCCGATGGTGGGCATCAACAAGGATATGAAGAGCAGCTATCTCATCCCGAGACCGATCAACAATCCCACGAGCTACCCTTAGCTCGTCACGAAGAGATGTCAGAGATCTCTCGTTCTCAAGCTGAGCAAAGGCAAACTCAGCTCGATGCTTCGAGACAGTGTACGCCATTCGGAGACGCCTATTCCGCTCATGTTCGAGATCGTCGCGTAACCCTTGCGTTACGCGATCAAAGAAGCTCGCGGGAACACACCGATCCACATGATCGTATGGAAAGCGTCTTTCCTCCTCCTCCACCTCCATTAGAGGACTCTCGCGGTTGCCAGCGCTATCTAGTTGAGCAGCTGTTGAACCACCGCGACGTGAACGGACGTCGGACGAGTTATCTCGTCCGGTGGCGCGGCTATCCCCCGTCCTGGGATTCTCGGGAGCCCCGCTCCCAACTGATGGTTGACGTACTGGGTCTGGTTGAGCAGTACGACGCGGCACATCCTGTGCCGCAGAAGGACCGCCGGAGAAAGTCTTCCCGGCACGGTCGTAAAGGGATTTCAAGTTGTCAATCCCTTCGTACATCTCAGTAGAGATACGTACGCGCCACCACGGGCTATTAGGGAGGTAAGCCTCCTTAGGTGCTCGTGCAGAGTTGTTCACACAACATGGGCACGAGTCTCCCGAAGAGAGGCAGGGTAATCCTTTCTCCCTTGACAGACGATGCAGCTTGTAGCGTGCACCTGTCGGGGTTCGCTTTTCAAACTTATCACGAGCTTTGATAAGTTTGTCGTTCCAAGCGTCACGACCTACATCCTCGAGATTATGGATGTAGGCGTTCCACGCTTGAAGCAGTGAGGGACCATCACGTTTGTGATTCCCACTGTACCATCGATGTTTGAAGAAAGCATAGATGAAGAATTCATGTTCAGCGCGATAGTCTTTCGCACTGGGGTCAAGGTGATGGATCCTTGACGAATCGAACAATCGTGTTCGATAACGATCACTCGCCGCGCCGACAAGTGATCCATGACTGATTTAGGAGGCATCCATGCCTTCTTCTCAGGAGCGAGACGCAACACATTGCGGTCCCGCTCTTCCTGCGACGTGCCGACAGAAGTACTGGCACCTCGCTGTGAAGTGGTGTCCATAGGAGAACCGACACCACTATTAGCGCCCGAGTCTCGCGACCTCGAGCGCCTTCGCTTCGGCGATGGTTCATCTGACTCATCAGATGAACCAAAGATGCTGCGACGCAAAGCATCGTCCATGCCACGCTTGGCAGGCGGCTTGGATTCAATTGCCGTCGATACGGATCCGTCATCCGTATCAGGAGAGTACGAGACACCGAGCTCGTACTCTGTGAAGACACGAGTGTCTTCATGACCAGCGCCTGCATCACCAGGTGATACAGGCTGAGTCGATTCAGCAACCGATGGGATATCAGTTGCTGTAGTTTCTGCTTCGGCGTCCGCACAGAGACGTGCAGACGCGCTCTCGGCGGCCTTGCTCGCGCATCGCATGGGCTTGTTAACCATGCGATGAGATGTTGGAAAGTGGACGCGGACCAACAAGTGCAAACCCTGTCCCAAATAATTTGGGACGAGTATCCGTATAGTCAATCAGTCACTAAAGTGACTGATGGTTAAGGGGGGGGTGATGTAACGGGGTGAATCGTTACATAACAATTTATAAGAAATTGTTAATAGAATATAACTATAAGAGTTATATTCTCAGAATATTGTCATAAGGACAAATATTCTGAGAATTAAACTCTTATAGTAAATATTCTGAGAATATAACTCTTATAGTTATATTCTATTAACAATTTCTTATAAATTGTTATGTAACGATTCACCCCGTTACAGCTTATCTGCGAGCCGTTGTGCTAGTCGCTCGTGCGAAATCACGTGAATAAAAAGCTGGTATTCTTGTGTATTATGGCATTGTAGTAATGCTGTTTGGGTGTTGCTTATTTTTGGTACCGTTTTGTGGTCTCCCGACCACCGGGCTTGATTTTAAAGATCACTATTATATGCTAGACTTGACTTTAAAGATCACTATCACTATATGCTGGTAATGCGGTCCTGCTAGCACCTTCTTGACTCTTTAAACTTCTACTTATGTCTACATGTCCCTCCTCGTGGTGATCGTGATCATTCTTCTCGATAAGTGCTTAATCTTCGTCAAAATTTCAATTGAGCTGTCGTCAACATAGTTCTGCGTGCAGCTGTCGAAAGAGTGTTCCATAAACTATGTTTCACAATTCACGACAGCACAGCCACTGAATGCTTATCGTAGCTGTAGGCTTTTCATGATACGAATCAGCAAGTAAAGGGGCACATCGTTGATCGAAAGTCTTATCAGAACAAAATTATTCCCGACGCATGCACATTGTAATGGGGTAGCCGGTTACATGACATTGACATCAAACGGTGTCAACAGGGAGATTGTCTAGCGTGACAATTTTTGGAAAGTGATATTTCGTACCTAGCCAGGTACTATGTTTATGCCGGTGGAGCCAGCTATATAGTGATAAATTTGTCCGTACAAGAGCTAGTTCTATAATGTTCAGTGTGTAGGGAAACGTGTGGCAGCGGCAGAGGCCGCTGCACTAAGAGGTCGTACTTTGCGTTCGGTAAGCCAGTGAGGAGGCCCACGGCGGCGGGCCGAAACGCGTCTGGCACGCGTCCGAAAGTGAAGTCTTTTGTATCATGTGTTCTTCGTGTTCTGCAACAATTCCCTACCAGTATTATCTAAGATGGAAATTTTTGAAGGAACCATATCCCCTTCCAGGATAATATTCATACGCTGCTCAAAGATTGGTTGATAAAAGACATGCTAACCATAGATTACCACCAATCGTTGCTAGACGCGCACAATGAGTGGTGGTTAGGTTATCGTCATACGACGACGTAGTCTTATATACTTCGAAAAAGAGTGAAGTGATCTTGATAGATTAACTATATTAAATACAGTTCTATATTTACCCTTAACTCAAGTTAGCTGTTTATGTAAATTAGCTTCCTCTGCACGTACTAGTGTACATAGAGTTTTTTGGCATGCCAAACAAAGGTTGCCCCGTTACACACATAATATGACATACGGAAACCTTCAAGTTACTCAGCGACGTGATATTGTGGGTATTTACTTCTTGCAGAAGAAAACTAGTACTCAACCCGCGATTCTTAATTGTTGTGAAATGCTGGTGTCATTACTGCTCCTTTACATAAGCGCTTCGACATTCCTGTATCCTTATTAATGTACCGTTCTCTCTCAAGTAAAGAAACGTTCATTCTCCCATTGACTCCGTTCAGCTGGGGCATATAAGTCCGTATGAACTACTAAAAATGCCTCCAGCACGGCCAAGTGAGGTAAACTTAAGTAAAAGTAGTTTTTGCTGCTTGGCGTAGCGCAGATAGTTCACACGCATTCTGGTCTGCGTTCGGGCAGAGCTAAATATGACAAAACGTTCTCCGATCTTTCGACTTGCTTCTAATCAGGAACACCAGGGATAATCGCGACTTTTCATCGCAGTCAGGTCTCGATATAACAGTTATCGTGCGTGTAGTGGTCTTAATCTGACCACATACGTCGCTAAGGACGAGGTCAATCTCATGCATTTGTTGTTCGGGTGTAGTCAACTGATAGTATGCTTACGTTTGATTTTAAAGCTCGTATTCGTTGCATAGCTTCACTCGCTTACCGATGTAATCTGTTAAATAACCGATAGCGGTCTGCTTCTTACGATCGCATCAACTCCTCTGTGGCTGATATGTTGAGTTGAAGATGTTGTGGTACGACTTATTCATATCGGTGTCGTTGGTTTGCTTTCTATATTTTCACTCTTAGCTTGCCCGGGGTCATACGCAGCTTAAAAAGTAATGTCAGACGTGCTCACTAGGCTCCCACTTCTTTCCCTTGATATTCGCATAGCAGATGCCTCGTTCATATTCAATTTGCGCCACTCAATCGATGAGTCGCCCGAAAAAACAGGGTGTGTGTAAACTTGGAGATGTGACCCGCATTTGTAAGCGCACCCTTCTAGGTGCAACCTGAGTCTAAATGCTCGTTACAACGACACCAGTTCTGGCTTTTTTTACTGCATTACCGTATGCGAGGTTCCAACTGACAGAATCAATGGTCTTGTACCCATAGAGCCTTTCAGCATGATATGCGCTGTGTCGCACCCAATTCGACGAGCCATGTATTTTTTTCCTCGCCATTATTATCGCTTTGTTCCGACAACAGGAGGTATCCCAAGATATCCTATTAAATGTGCGCCGCAGTCGCAAGAAGTTATTAAAGAAGTTGACATGCCGAATGTTCGTGGATTCGAGAGAGAGACAATCTACAATCCAGTAATTTAGTTGCTCCTTAATAGTTGCAGACACCGGTCCACTACCGCAAAATGCACTCTTTATCGTTCATCGCTGCCCAACTATTGCGCTTCTGTCAATAATCAGGATCTGACTCATTACGAGTTCTCACAAAAATTTGTCGCGTAAAAATTCCAGGGTCCTGATAGGACGGGAACTACTTGCTCAGAAAGACAAGAAGCGCGTTCACAAAGTAATTCTCACTGACCAGGCACACGACCGTATTCAGTTGATACGCTTATCGCTTATCGATGCTGTGCAAGTAAATCATCACTATCTTGCACCCTTCTCGTGAAGTAACGTCGACGAGGAAAGAGCTTGAACGCAAGGCTGTTCTAAAAAAATTTGAGCTTCTCTGTGTTTATTATGTGTCGAATGCAACACTAGCTGGTTAAATACGACTGAAGGTGGTATCGAGTCTCCAATTTCTCAAGTAACTTTTGGTTATCGCTTGCGGGACTTACGCTTGAACACCGGTCGGTCCAAGGTCATTAGGTATTGTTTGATCTTGACTTTGCAACACATAATCTTCCACTGGTCTTGCTTTACAAGCGCAACCTTCGGTCCAAACTTTAGAATCAAATAAGATGTATCGAAGTAGTTAATGCAGCGGCGGAGTAGTCTGTGACGGGGTCGACAATGGTCGCTAGCCCTCAAAAAAGGAACCATAGCAATGGGGTCCTCGTTAGCAGCAACCAGATCCTTTTTACAATTAGCTCGAGGTGCTTTGATGGAAACATTGGCACCAAGGTCGAATTCCATCTTAATATAAGCTATGAGGGTTAAGCTGTGCGTGTCTGTGCGCAAAGTGAATGCTCGACATCTTAGTTCGTGCTTATCCGTTTGTGTGTGTTTGTAAATAAGGCTTATTGCAGTCAGAGAAAAAGTAATAAGCAGAAGGTGAAATAGCCACTACACAACAAAAATAACAAGACGTTCAATGCCGACCGTCGGACACAGATGGTCATAATTCTGGCGGTATCCTAATACCTATTACAGGCAAATTGCAAACGCCTGTCAATAATTTGTTCTGAGCAAGGACAGCAAAATTTTAGCTGCATTGGAAAGTGATAATGACAAGAATAACGTAAACAACTGAAAAATAAAACACAATAAAATGGATGGAAAGCTACGTAAGGAAAAATCCAAGACCTACATGATCTAAATACATAGTCTCGAAATGAGAAGCAAGTGTTGACCGCCTTAACGCTGTATGACAAGTTCTTCGCACTGTGAGATGTAACGTGCGCTACATCATTCTTAAAAGGATGATGCTGAGAATTTGGATCTCCATCACGCGAATATGAACTGGTTCGCTGAGCTCGCTACGCCTAAATTCTGGTGGTAGCAATCGAGAATTTGCAACGACAAGCTCTGCTGTCTGATCATAGATGTTGGAATCTTAATTTTCGTCGTTATAGTCGTCAATTTTTGTTACCGTAGTTGACTTCTATACATCGTGACCAATATCGTCACATTTGTGGTCGTTGTTGTCGTTCTCATGATCGTCGTGGTCAACACTGTTATTTTCGTGGGAGTGGTCGGAGACGTTGACGTCCGTATCACCATTCGCGGCACTCTATGGTCTCCAATTAATTATCGCAAAGTTCTTTCGTAACACATATACATTATTGTGTGTACATCCACATCTTCATCACTACCCATACGTATGTGCGCGTTCTTCTTCCTCCCGACTTTTTTCCTCGCTCAACGGAGTAGTGTAAAGATAAGATGGACATCTTATCTTCGAGGCGTAATTCAAGCTGTTATGCTATTTAACGATGTAAACAAAGAGCATCATTTCGGAGTGTGTGCAGAAAAAAGCCCGAAACAGGTCCGTAGATGATCCAGTCAGCTTTCTATATAACATCCCTGTTTGTTAACCCCCTCTTTAGATCTTATCAGGAGATGGTATAGAGGAATCTGACAGCAGTAAATTACAAGAATATGATTGACTTGGTCCTACACCATAGAGTAATTCGTATTTAATGATGGCTACGGACCACCGAATAGACTGATGGTCGTAGATGCCAGGAGGTGGGTGGCCTCACCAAATGTACAATCTTATCACGTTCATTAACATTAGTGACTTTTGGTATTCGGGCTGTCGCGCATAAAGCACCTAATTATGTACGGTGCATTATGGTTGCTTCACTTTTTGCTGTCGAGTCTTTCTGTACGGACAAAGCTGTGGGGGCGAGGCCATTAATTTTTTTCGATTAGACTGCTACAAATGGATGCATTTTTTGGAAGGCAGTTGTGGCAAGAGACTTTATCTACGATCTCTTATTTTGTTTTTTTTAGCTAGTTACTTATTTTATAATTTCCCCTTGTATTCAATTTGTGCCAGTGAGCGAAGTGAATCCATGCGTGGTCTAAACCTCGGCCATTTATTGCCACCTTCACGATGACTGTATCGCATGTTCGACCATGTTAAGTCGAATTATGGTTGGCTAGACCTGTCGATCCTCGCACAGTCCGGGTATCTAGTAGCGCTGCTCTCCTGACTAAATTGAAAACCCAACACAACGGCAGAAAAGGCGTGCCTGGCACGCCTTTAGCAGCACATCACGATGAAAAGAGAAGGTAGAGCTAAGCTGAATAAAAGAAAGGGCCAGACTCTCTATTTGTAGTTCCTAAGACTACGTGTATCAAGACACCCTTTGTTTAAGTGCCACGAAACTTCACGTACACTAGTACGTGCAGAGGAAGCTAACCCACTCAAACAGCTAGCTCGAGTTAAGGGTAAATATAGAACTGTATTTAATATAGTTAATCTATCAAGATCACTTCACTCTTTATCTTACTATATAAGACTACGTCGTCGTATGACGATAACCTAACCACCACTCATTGTGCGTGTCTAGCAACGATTGGTGGTAATCTATGGTTAGCATGTCTTTTATCAACCAATCTTTATTGCAGCGTATGAATATTATCCTAGAAGGGGATATGGTTCCTTCAAAAATTTCCATCTTAGATAATACTGGTAGGGTATTGTCATGCTAGACAGCATCTCAATTGACACCGTTTATTGTCAATATCATGTAACGGGTCTACCCCTTTACACTACGCTTCGATGCCTGAATGATATTTACCCAGTCTCTCACCATGACTGCATCATTCTTCTCCGCTGAGTCATTCTGCTATAGATCAGGCGTCACGGGGTCTACGCTGAGAAGGATACGTGTAACAGTTGACCAAGCTGAGTGTGCAGATAGTGTGTAGCTGATGCCCGGAATGGAGGTCAGTGACCACTTCGAGCGGCCCCCAGGGGACACCTTGACTTGTCCCTAATGTGTACCGCCGGAGTGGAGTCCACTGGACTAAGTCACGATCTTAGTTATTTCTCTTCGAAAGACTGGGATTTGTGATCAGCGAATGGGTCGACAAGGGCAGAAAATATAATGTCGAAAAGCGTAATTTGAGGCCAGGTCTTAACATCCTTATTCGAAAAGCTTTCTGTCCATTTGAATCCTCCAGTACACTGCTGTCCATGAAAAGCACCTTCAAGATTTCCCTGCACAGTAGAGCCTCCTTAATATCATATGATAAGACCGCCAAATTTTGATTAAAAAAGGATTATTTGATAGCAGAGCTAGGGGGTAGGGTTGGAGCAAAGGGTGCTGCGCGTTTTAGCAAGGAGGACGATAGCGAGGCCGCACCGCCCGTCCCTCTTCGTATTGCTTGTAAGAGTGTAGTAGTGCACTTGTTGCAAATGAGGTAGACGAGAAATTAAATATTTGTTTGTTTATAACTTACTTCCTTAAACACTACGATATGCATGACCAAAACGGAAACTACAACTTGACAATTCCAAGTCTCATGTGGTGACCGTCACTCCCAGTCCCATGTGACAGGATGTCACATGACGTCCGTCTCTCATGGTCCCATTTGTGTATTGTAAAGAGCACATTGTAACAATGCTGCATCTATGTTTGCAAGCTCAAGACTTTCTGGTTGCTGCAGGAGAATGGAGAGGAATTCTCAAGGATACATTAGAAGATACAGACTCAGGTCGGAAATCTTCAGCAAAAATCCTTAAGCAACAATATCTGGATAATCACTTTGTTGTGGTCCCCCGACAGTACTTCAACATTTGTATGGCAGAACCTTTTCTGGCTTTAATAATAAAATGAAGGAGTATCTCAATTTTTGCCTGGGCCCAACATGAGACTCGAGATTTTTATTTAGTAGGGAGATTATTAACTTGAAGAATAATAAATTACACAGACTCAACTGTAGCACCCACACACGAATACATTGCGTCTGCGTGAGAGTAATCGGCTTGCGCCGTGATACACCATCAACGATAACGTTAGCGATGAGTGTGAAGCGTTTTGCGGCGGGAGAAGATTTGGTGAGATCAGGATGAGTTGTTGTGGGTGTTAATTTTCATTGCATAGAATTTAAAGTTATTGCACACTATTGTGTTATCGATGCTCGTGGGACGTGAGTCGTGGTATGAAGCAGCGACCGTCAATGCTGCCGGTTTCGGCTCCAGTAGTCGGTCAGATATCGGTGGTGTTGGCAGCAGACAATTAGCGATTTAGCGTCAACAGATTGAGGTTTGACACGTATAATCGAACTCTCGTCGTATTAAGCCATTGTACATCAGACTACCAGGTATGATGGTACGGCCGCGAACGAGAGGTAAATTACTGCTAATGCTGAGTACGCTTTCGGTCTATACCATCACTCCGAGTGAAGGCTTTGGTTTACACTTTGTTGAAACAACGGGGCTGGCCCTCAAACTCAACGCGAATTTCTACGGCCTATCGGCTCGGGATTGGTAAAGTAAGTAAATGCAAAGTAACCCTGACGTAACGTTTTCTCAAAATGGTCAATATTCTTCGTGCACCTCTGCTCATCACTTTGTCAGGATGTAATTGCTGACATTACATCCAACAGCTAAATATTGATGAAGTCAATGCAATCGTCGATAGGTTTTTTCTCTCGCTCTGACAAAGAAGTAGAGCAGTCGCTCGTAGCTCTTGTTTTCAGCATCCTCACGACGAAAAGATGCTGCAACGCTAAGTCGTGCGCCGTCATCGCGTTGCTCATTCTTCAGGTTGTATAAATGTGGATATTTGTACTAGCATGCTAAGAATATGCACGAGAACAATCTGGTGACCGAGCGCTCGCACGATTGCATTGCTTACTTGATCATTATTAGTGTATTGTGACGCATGACGACGACATCACGCAGACCCAATAGTTTTGTGACTGGTTGGGGATGGAATCTTAGAGCACACCAAAAAGCTCTATCTATGTACAGTCAGATACTGGAGGATTCAGGAGAGGAGAGGTAGCTGATAGAAAATCCTTAGACCAGGGCTGTAACGGGGCACCCTGAAGCTTGTACTGATGACAGTACAAGCTACTTATTTTGATGACAGAATAAGGCGGTGCCTCGTAACTTCACGTACACTCGTACGTGCAGAGGAAGACGGTAAGAAGAAGCGAGTACTCGGTTAAAGTAAAAAGTAGAACTGTATTCATAATAGTTAATGTCTGCAATAAATCACTATTTATCTTCATTTAACTATGTCTAAATACAAATGTGTAAATCAACTATCTGCTCACCACTCATTGCGTGCGTCTGTCGTGGCGCGTCTTCGTTGGTTGATATAATGGCCTATATCAACCAATTAGGAACTACTCGTAAGTGCTACAGAATATTTGTCCTTATGACAATATTCTGAGAATGTAACACTTATAGTTATATTCTATTAACAATTTCTTATAAATTGTTATGTAACGATTCACCCCGTTACATCACCCCCATTAACCATCAGTCACTTTAGTGACTGATTGACTATACGGATACTCGTCCCAAATCAATTGGGACAGGGTTTGCACTTGTTGGTCCGAGTCCACTTTCCAACATCTCATCGCATGGTTAACAAGTCCATGCGGTGCGTGAACAAGGCCGCTGAGAGCGCGTCTGCACGTCTCTGTGCGGACGCCGAAGCAGAAACCACAGCAACTGATGTCTCATCGGTTGCTGAAGCGACCCAGCCTGTGTCACTTGGTGATGCAGGCGCTGGTCATGAAGACACTCATGTCTTCACAGAGTACGAGCTCGGTGTCTCGTACTCTCATGATACGGAAGACGGATCCGTATCGACGGCGATTGAATCCAAGCCGCCTGCCAAGCGTGGCATGGACGATGCTTTGCGTCGCAGCATCTTTGGTTCATCTGATGAATCACATTAACCATCGCCGAAGCGAAGGCGCTCGAGGTCGCGAGACTCGGGCGCTAATAGTGGTGTCGGTTCTCCTATGGACACCACTTCACAGCGAGGTGCCAGTACTTCTGTCGGCACGTCGCAGGAAGAGCGGGACCGCAATGTGTTGCGTCTCGCTCCTGAGAAGAAGGCATGGATGCCTCCTAAATCAGTCATGGATCACTTGTCGGAGACGACAAGTGATCGCTATCGAATACGATTGTTCGATTCATCAAGGATCCATCACCTTGACCCCAGTGCGAAAGACTATCACACTGAGCATGAATTCTTCATCTATGCTTTCTTTAAGCATCGATGGTACAGTGGTAATCACAAACGTGATGGTCCCTCACTGCTTCAATCGTGGAATGCCTACATCCATAACTTTGAGGATGTAGGTCGTGACGCTTGGAACGACAAACTTATTAAAGCTCGTGATAAGTTTGAAAAGAGAACCCCAACAGGTGCACGCTACAAGCTGCATCGTCTGTCTAAGGAGGGTGGGTTACCCTGTCTTTCTTGGGGAGACTCGTGCCCATGTTGTGTGAACAACTCTGCACGAGCACCTAAGGAGGCTTACCTTCCTAATAGCCCGTGGTGGCGCGTACGTATCTCTATTGAGATGTACGAAGGGATTGACAACTTGAAATCCCTTTACGACCGTGCCGGGAAGACTTTCTCCGGCGGTCCTTCTGCGGCACAGGATGTGCCGCGTCGTACTGCTCAACCAGACCCAGTACGTCAACCATCAGTTGGGAGCGGGGCTCCCGAGAATCCCAGGACGGGGGATAGCCGCGCCACCGGACGAGATAACTCGTCCGACGTCCGTTCACGTCGCGGTGGTTCAACAGCTGCTCAACTAGATAGCGCTGGCAACCGCGAGAGTCCTCTAATGGAGGTGGAGGAGGAGGAAAGACGCTTTCCATACGATCATGTGGATCGGTGTGTTCCCGCGAGCTTCTTTGATCGCGTAACGCAAGGGTTACGCGACGATCTCGAACATGAGCGGAATAGGCGTCTCCGAATGGCGTACACTGTCTCGAAGCATCGAGCTGAGTTTGCCTTTGCTCAGCTTGAGAACGAGAGATCTCTGACATCTCTTCGTGACGAGCTAAGGGTAGCTCTTGGGATTGTTGATCGGTCTCGGGATGAGATAGCTGCTCTTCATATCCTTGTTGATGCCCACCATCGGGAGCACAAGGCTCTCTGCGAGATGCTTGAGCGCAAGGGCGTTCTTCATCGGAAGAAGCAGCGTACTGATGGTACGGCTTAAGCCGACCAACGTAAAACGTGGGATGCGTTCGCATCTTACGTGGCAGTTCGATCGTGTATGCATTGCCTAGGCGGTGCAATACACGAAATGGGCCAATGTACTTGGGTAGTAGTTTACTGCTACCCAAGTTAGTCACTACATGCTTTGGTAGATTAACCGTAGACAGTAGGACTAAGTCACCCTTATTGAATAAAAGAGTGTTTGCCCTTCCATTCTTGTCAGCATTTGCTTTTGCTTATCCACCGCTTCGGCGATGGAGTCTTGCACAAAACGGACTACCGTTTCACGAGCCAGTATGAACTCATTTGATGACTCGTTAGCTTCAGTGCGCTGTGAGCGCACTGCAGCAACATCAACCTTTTCTTCAGTGAGGGCTTCCGCACTCTCACTGGCATCATATTCTTCGATATCGATGTTATCGATATCGGCATCAAACGCAATGACCTCTTCGTCAGAGCGTGATGAGCGTGAACCAAATCGGTTTTTGCTCGCGCGAGTCCCTCCCCCCCCAAACCAGAGTTACACTCTAGTAAGGTGGGTACACGCGGATGACGAAAGCCATTCACGCAAAACGGTGTATGTGTCGTGGACGCATGCACCGAGTTATTAATGGCAAATTCTACCATTGGCAAAAACTCACTCCAACTCTTTAAGGAGTGTACGTATCCTCGAAGTATCTCTTCGAGGACAAGATTGGCACGTTACGTCTGACCATCTGACTCTGGATGATCAGATGTAGACATCTTCAAGCGCGTTCCGAGTGATTTGAACACGGAGCGCCAGAAATCAGCAGTGAAGCGTGGATTTCTGTCTGATACGAGTTCATGGGGCAACCCATGAAGTCGGAAGATGGTGTCGATAAAGACACAAGCACAGCCACTAGCCGTGATTGTCTCGGGTACAGCCACAAGGTGTACCATTTTGCTATATCTGTCAACAAATACGAGAATACACGCATTACTGCGTGCGTCTTTGGGTAACACGAAGACGAAATCCATTGAGATGGATTCCCAGCACTCAGCCGGAACCGGTAGAGGCTGTAAAGGTGCACGCAGTGAAGGACTTGACTTCACTCGTTGGCAGACTTCGCATGCGCGAATGTACTTTCGCACAAACTGATACTGGCGGGGCCAGTAAAAGTCTCGACTTACCGTGAGATATGTTTTCTCTCGGCCACGATGTCCTCCTATAGGAGCATCGTAATACTCGAACATGATCCGCAAACGCAGATCAGTATCATCTGGAATGACAACACGTGGTGTGTCACCAGGGACGGCTGTATAATACAGTAAACCGTTGCGAGTAGTGTATCGATCTGATGCAGATCGATACGCAGACGATATTCGTTTCAACGATTCTCGAGATGGCTGTGAGAGATGTGTCAACAACTTCACAATCTCACTATCTTGGGCGTATGCCCGCCTCACATCATCGTACAACGTTGTAGATGGGACTGAGGACGTCATAACCGCAACAGTGACTGTCTCACTGTTGGGTTTCGCGACTGTTTCAAAGTCGGGGCGACGTGAGAGTGCATCAGCGACGACATTAAGTCGTCCTGGTATGTACTCAACCGTAAAGTTGTATTCCGCAAAGAATGACAACCACCGCGCCATTCGTTGCGAAAGGTGCGGGCTGTTCACTGCCGTGCGTAATGACGCATGGTCAGTGTAAACAATGAAGGGTCTATCTCCTAATAGATAGACTCTGAACTTCGCGAGTGCATACTTCATGGCAAGGAGTTCCTTGTCATGCACTGGATAGTTCCGCTCAGCTGGTTGCAGCTGACGCGACTGATAGCAGACGAAGCGTTCAACGCCTTCTAGGTCTTACTGCATTAATGCACAGCCGATTGCAAAATCGCTGGCATCACAGACCACATGAAATGGCCTGTCCTGATCGGCAATCGCTAGGACTGGGGATTGTATCAAGCTCTTCTTGATACCCTCAAAGGAGCGCTGACATTCAGCGTTTCATAACCACCTCTCGTTCTTTTTCAACAAACGAGAGAGGTGCACAGTCATCTCGGCGTAATTGCGTGAATACTTATGCAAATACGCCGCTAGCCCAAGGAATTGTCGAAGTCCTTTGACGTCGACTGGCACAGGCCAGTCGGTGATCGCCTTGATCCTTTCGGGATCAGGACGTACACCGTTCTTACCAACGATGCACCCAAGAAGTGGTATTTCGCTTGCTGCAAATATACACTTCTTGAGGTTTGCATACAATTGATGCTTTCGCATGATTGTAAGAACCTGTCGGACGTGGTACCTGTGAACCTCAACGTCCGACTTTCCATCCATAGCCCGACTATGGATGAATACGTCATCGAAATAACTCGGCGCGAATTCTCGTACTGGTCTCAACAGATGTGATACACATCTGTTGAACGTGGCAGGGGCATTACTGAGCCCTTGTGGCATTACTAGCCATTCCCAGAGCATGCCGCTAGGCGTGCTAACTGCGGTATAGGGTTTATCCCGTTCCCGCATAAGGATTTGATCGAAGCCATCTATCAAATCCATGGACGAAAAGATGGTACTCTTTGACATACCATCAATGATTACGTCCTTCCTCGGTATCGGCGTCTGAGCCGGTACCGTTGCAGCATTCAACTTATTGAATGCATGCACTATCCGCCACCCTCCTGTTGCTTTTCGCACACAGAAGGTCGGAGAGATATGTGGGGAAGTTGATTCCGTCACATGGCCGGCAGCTAAACGATCGGCAAAGAACTTGTCGATCGCAAGTACTTGTTCACGAGGGCAGTGGCCACTGCTTCATGACACAGTACTTCGAGCCTGGTTTAAGCTCGACCTCGTGTCGAATACCTTTATCCTTCGATAATTCGCACGGAACAGTTTCAGGGAATACATCCTTGAATTCAACCAAATCTTCATAGAGAGGATTTGTCTTGAGCGATTCCCACGATTGGGAGTCATATCGCTCAATTCGTGTCTTTTCATCTAGGACACTCTCGTCCATATATGAACTACTGAGAAGTCTCTCGTTCTCAGTAAACACTGCTGCTGACCTTATGTCGGCTACGCACTCGTCGTCAGCGACGAGTACGCAGATCTGCTTGACTTTGCCACTACGCAGATCACGCAAGAACCTTTTATGTTCGAGCGTTGGCAACTGAGTGATCTCCGAAGTCAACTTCGGAGGCGCAATCAGATCAAGTGTATAAGCGCCTACACTTGATCCGTTATTGACTATGACATTCAATGTATCTGTCATATCCTGGGGACTTATTCCCTCAGGCTTCGAAGGACTTATTCCTTCGGCTTCCCGGGGACTTATTCCCTCGGGTTTCGGGGAACTTATTTCCGCCGTATTTGTATTATCGGGACTTATTCCCCTAACTTCCTCTTGCTGTGGTTGCGCAACCACAGCGAGATCCTCTACGAAAGACCCTCCAGTCGATCTAGGATTATCGTTTCGCTTAACCTGAGCGATCGATTGTTTCTCTTCTAGATGTTCCCCGCTAGGGATACATCTTTGTCCCGGTCCACTCGACTTATTCGAGTGGTGGACCTTCGGCGCAGCCTGTGTTTCCCCACAGCCGCCGGAATCTTGCTCCGAAGTGTAACCGTTTGGTACACTAAGGTTTTGTGCAGTCGTACTAACGACCGTACCACAAGTGAGGCCATCGCACTCACTCTTAGTACATCCACACGCTTGTGAACGCTCCAAAACGTTCATCAGATGGCCAT